GTTCTCAATATTTCTGTCATCACATCTGGTGTTTCAACCTCTACTTTATTTACTTTGTAAGATGGTCTGCTTATGAGTGCCGCCGTTTCACGTGTTTGCGCATATGCAACAGTTTCAGGGAATGTCAACTTTGGATTCGCGTATGTCTCTCGCTATTTCTCGTTATTTTAAGTTCTCTGCACATGCATGGAGTCTAAATACCGCTCCAGAGAATTTATAATTATAAGTTCTCTGCTTCTCGTTATTTTAAGTTCTCTGGTTCTCTGCATGTGCTCTATAAAGCTCTTGTATTGTTAAATATTTTGTAAAATACTGCCCTAGTAAAAGAGCTTTGGTAAAAGTTAAGAGCTTTAAGAACTTTTCAACCGAAAGCTTTATTATGGCGTTGCATTCTAAGCTCATTGCTGTATACGCATAAAACGTAAGAGCGAAGACTACAACCAGAAAATGTTAAAGAATATAATCCGAAGACGTAAATGTAAAGTGAAAACGGATTGCTTAGCACGTACAAGACCCAATATGGGACCGGTCGAATGTGAAGGTCCGAACCATTATGAGACTGACAAAAAGGCGACACAAATTGTAAAAATAAAATTATAAAAAAAAAATTAAGTAAAATAAAATAGCATTAAATAAAGTAAAAATAAAATAATAAAAAAAAAAATTAAGTAAAATTAAATAGCATTAAATTGTTAAAATGATTCAAAATTTAATTAAACAAATAAATAAAATAAATTAAATTAAATTAAATTAGTACTAAGGTTAAGGCAAGGGAAATAAATATACGTAAATAAATAATAAATCCTCCCCATCCATAAAAAGTAATTAATTTAATTTATTTCGTAGAAAAAAGTAGAACGTAGAACGTTCGTTAGTTTATCTTAGGGGCAAAATAATTAATACGTTAAATATAAATATAATTTTAAATTTTAAATTTTAAATAAGTAAAAAATTAATAAATAGAAAAAATCGGAAAAGACGATATAATCCAGTAATTCAATAATAACGTTTCAACTCCCCTAAAAATGCCATAACTTTACTTATTTATATTTCCCTTGCCTAAGCCTTAGTTTAATTATGTAATTTATTTCATCTAATTTAATGTGTTTTATTTTGTATCTCTATTTCATTTTATTTTATTCATTGTAATTTATTTAAATTAATTAAAGTTTTTATTATATTTTAATAATTTTTTTTTAGTTAGTTATTCCTTTTAATTTTATTTCATTTTATCTCATTAACTTTAAATTGGTTTCATATATGTATGCCTTCGTCATACATATCCATCCATTTACCTTAATTTGTACACCTAACAATTTGATTCCTTAAAATTATGTATGATTTTTAAAAAAAATTTAAATAAGTGAAAATTAATAAAAAATAAAAATTGTGAAAAAATCTGACGCGGTAAGTCTAGACCTCGGGCCAATCATTTCCCTCCAAAATATTG